TGCGCCACCTGTCCGTGTCCTTGGTCGAGTGACCTTCTCCTATTATTGTCAAACTACCGGGAGTGTCCTTGCACGGATGACTGATTTTCACGTCGATATTGCACTTTTTCTCTCCATCTCGGACGGGGGGCACCTCGCGGCGGGCTTGAGGCCTACTCCGCGGTCTACTACTTTATGCTCGTTTTTCTTTTTCACGCGACAGACGACGGCCGCCGCACCACAGTACCCGACATCGTCGTCTCTCTGCGTCGTCACCTGTTTTTAATGCACAAATTTAACACCTCGAGAGTTGGGCCTCTTTCACGCTCGGCGCGCTCAGTACACGCGGCGGGGGCTCGGCTCTCGGCTCCACGTCGTGGGGGCACTCGGCAATCAGCTGATACTGCTCTCCCCCCCCCTCCCCACCCCCTTTCCATTGCGCCGTCGGCTGCCTCTGGCCCCCGGCACTATTACCAAAGAGGCAGTCCAGTCTTTCACGGCCTCTCTCTCCCTCTCGCCTTACCCTTTCCAGCTCCAGTCCCCCCCTCCCCCCTTTCCCTCTTTCATTTGCCCGCTCTGCCCCCGCCCTGGTCAAAATCCATTCATAATGACTCCAGCAGCGGAAAGGTTCTCCCCCCGCTTTTATCGGCTTCTCCGAGCAAAATGGCGCACTCCTCTTTTATTAGGGTTATATTTACGTCTCAATATGTTGACCAGCATCACCAGAGCATTCTTCACAACCCTGTTTATGGTGGATTTTGGCCCCATTGAGGCTAACGTACCACTTCTACAACTACTACTACTCTCGGCCGGGCGTGCGCCATGCGTTGCGGCGAGGTGCGGTAACTGACCTATTTCGCGAGCGGTGGTGGTGGCATCGTCCGCTGGACCCTGGACCTGGTGGCATGATCTGGCCGCTCCACCTGGCCGCTGGCTGGACCTTGCCGCTGGATCTGGTAGCTGGATCTGGCCGCTGGGCCTGTAGATTGGTGACCTGGCCACTGGATCTGGCCGCTGGGCCCGTTGGCTAGTGATCTGGCCACTGGATCTGGCCGTATGATCTGGTCACAGGACCACAGGACCTGGCCGTTGGATCTAGCCAACTGGCCACTGGACCCGGGCGCTGGTTACCTGGCCGCTGCCGCTGGACCTGGCCACTGGAGAGTGCTTCAGGAGGCGCGTTACCTGATGAGAGAATTGGAGGGAGGAGCTCTCATGGCGAACAAACTCAACTGTGTCCCGCATGATTAGTGGCACCGTGTTGGGTGTGAATTACAGATACTTTAATTTTGAGAACTTCAACAAAGTTTTAAATAAAATTCAGGTTTTCTACATTGATACGGTACTGTGCGTGTTCTGGACCAACCATAACTTTATCTTATCATCTTTCTTGTTTCCCTCGCTCACCCAGGACCTAGAGCAGTTCGTGAGCGGCGCCAAGGACGGCGTGATCCTGTTCTCGCTGGGCTCCATGATCCGCGCCTCCTCGCTGCCCAAGGAGAACGCGGCCGCCCTGCTGCGCGGCTTCGGCGCCCTCAAGCAGCGCGTCGTCTGGAAGTGGGAGGACGAGGCCCCCGGCCCGGTGCCCAAGAACGTGCGCCTGTCCAAGTGGCTGCCCCAGTTCGATGTTCTTTGTAAGTCCCAATGTTTTGTACTGGTGGTAACATCTTAGGAAAAGCTTAATTATTTTAAAATATCGTGCTCTGCTTGAAGTTCCCTCGTAGAGGTAAAATGTTTTAATTCGATGCCGAAACGTCGAACTATAATATTTACATTAGATAACAAATGGAAATATTTCAGAGTAAGTGTTCAAATATTTTTTCCAAACATTACAAATTAACTCAGTTTCGTTTTAATGTTTTTGACAGGCCACAACAACACTCGCCTGTTCATCGGCCACGGCGGTCTGCTCAGCACCTCCGAGGCGGCGCACTGCGGCGTCCCCCTCCTGGGCATCGCCATGTACGGCGACCAGCGCACCAACCTGGCCGCCGTCGCCAAGGCGGGCGCCGGCCGCAGCCTTCCCTACAGCACCCTCAAGAACGCCGACCTCTTCCTCAAGAACGTCAAGGACCTGCTGGAGGATCCCAGGTAAGTGGAGCCACCGGCCGCCCGCCGGGAAGACTGCCCGTCGTATGGGACAGATTTGTCAAGAATTGGCCAAATTCAGAAGAATGCGGGGAACAACAACACGGAAATCACTATGCTTTAGTATGCTGACTTCTGTTTTGTTTTTTTGGTCTCCGCATTCTCCTAAATTCTAGCTTTGCCGGAATGGTTTGTTTGACCTTCTCGAAGATTCTGTTTGTTGGGGATGTGCCTTTAACTCCGTCTCGTCTGTGCTCAGCTTCCAGCAGAGCGCCACCGCGCTGTCGGAGCGCTTCCGGGACCGGCCCATGTCCCCGCTGGACACGGCCGTGTACTGGACCGAGTACGTGATCCGCCACAAGGGTGCCCCGCACCTGCGCGGCGCGGCGCGCAACCTCACCTGGTACCAGGAGGCGCTGCTGGACGTGTTCGCCGTCGTGTTCCTGTGCCTGGCCGCCGCGCTGTACGTCGCTTGGACCGTGGTCCGCACCCTGCTGCGCCTCGTGATGCGGGTGGGCTGCTCGCTGACGGGCGCCTGCGACCAGAAGGCCGCCCCCAAGAAGAAGAAGCAATAGGGGTCCGCGGGCCTGGCCAAGCTACCGGACGTGCCGCAGGTAGCAGCGGAGAACCTCCGAACATCGAGCAAAATTTCTGCTCCGCCAGCCGCGCGGGTGGCTCCGCCGGGGGCACAAGTCCTGCCTACGCAGACGGCGAGGGGGG